GCTGGGGGCACTGCAGGGGGCTGGGGGGGCACGGTGCAGGGGGCTGGGAGGGCTGGGGGTGTCCCTGGCTCCTGTGTGAGCCCCAGTGCTCGTGTGTCTCTGGGTTGCTCAGCTCAGGTCATGACCTGCTGCTCTCATCTCAAACTTCTGCATTCCTGGCCAGAGAACTGAGTTTTCCTCATTTTGTGGTGGCTGGTGGGGGATGGAGAAGGAAGGGTCAGTTGCTGACACCTCCTACACACGTTCTCCACACTCAGATCTCCAGTATTGAACTAGTTTATGTTTTGCCAGTGAACTGGTGTTGGCTTTATGGAATGCTGTGTTTCAAAGACCTGCCTAGTCCCTCTTTAAGCAAAATTTCCTATCTCCAACTTCTTGTTAGGTTTAGAATGCACTCCCTGAATTTCTATTTGACAACACACTAATTCTGCCTCTGTGGCAGCAACAGAATCAAATACACAATTAGTGCAGTTACACTAGGGGAAACATTTATACAATATAATGTAATCCTGAAAGGGGCTGTGAGCTGCCTTTGCTGTGATTTTATTTTTTTTTTATTTTTTTTTTTTAATGCTGCTACTCCCAAAAATACCCAGAGGAAGTCAACACTTCTTGATGTTGATGTTTGTTGATCTCCACTCAAAGAAGTTAAAAGCTTTTGCTCTCAAAATTGGTGCAGAGGCAGTGCTGAAGAGCCTGTGGAACGTGTCTGCAGGGGGCAGAGACCTGCTCTGATGCCAGGCTGGGAGTTGAGCTGCCTGCCCACATGTTTTAAGGACTGGATAAAAGTGTTAAAGATAAAAAGAGAGCACACATTGCTCCTAAGAAATAAGAGGTCAATCTCTTGTTTGTTCATCACTGTGTGGTAGAGGTCACCTCGAGGTGGAGGAAGGATAGGGATAGGTCAGTACATCAGCACAGTGGTTTCTTATCTCAGTTGTTCTGCTGCAGGGGCCTTGGAGAGGAAAGGAGGCTGTTAGGGAGGAGGGTGTCATTGCTACTGGGAGCTCTTATACAGGGAGCTACGAAGTGGCTCCTGTGTGTTCAATTGAGACATTTAGGCCATGGCAGCCCCTGCTTGCTCACCACCAGCTGAGAAGTGTTTTCTTCTTGGGCTCTCTAGTTTAACAAGGAACCTTGTCCTCTGTTGCAGGAAGAAGAGAGGTGGTGCTTGGTCTGGTCTCAGATACAGGAGCAGAGGCTGGGGGAGATGTGAAGGGAGAAGGTGCTGATGGGCATTCTTCTATCACTGAAATGAAGGAGGAGGGAGGATTGCTGATGGAGAACATAGGACCTCTGATCAACCCCTTGGAGTCCACACCAGAGTGCACTGCTGTTGGGCCTCCTTCCTTTGTTGAGACGCAGGAGGAGGAGGGAACATCACTGCTGGTGAGTGAAACATCCCCAGGTGACAGCTCAGAGACTGCACCTCAGAGCATGGTTGGGGATTCTCTTGAGAAGTCACGGAAGAGGGTAAGAATCTGAATCCAGAACCTGACTCCAGCTGCCAGGGTTCCCAGGCAGACTGCAGGTTATGTGCTTGTAGGATGTGCTGTGTATGCAGCTGCTGGTGTGCTGAGGGGGACAGGTGTCCCTAACTGAACCTTTGCTGCACTGAGGGAACTGGTACAGAATTCAGCTTCGTAATTGGTCTGATCTTGTTAGTGAGCATTGTGCTGCTCTTAGTTCCTGCTTTTTTTTTAAACCTACAGAATTGTCAAGCATTACTTACATTTCACCTATGCTAGAAGAGGTAGCTGGTCTTGTCTCTTCTCTTCCTGATCGTCCTCTGTTGACCCAGTGTAGCAGGAAGGTGCTGGTACCAGCTGCAAAGGAGGAGGTGACAAAGTGTTTCTTTGACAAAAAATGAACAGATGTTGTTCCTTTTTTTTTTTTTTTTTTCCCTTTTCTTAATAGAAAAAGAGGAAGAAGAAGAAGAAGAAGAAGAAAACAAGGAGTGATCCTTCCATCTCTGGAGAGCAGGATTCTCTACCTCCTCTAAGCACAGCACCAGCTCAAACCACAGAATTGCCTGATACACATGTTGTTCCACAAGAAATGCAATCCCCAGGCAATGAAGTAGCCAAACCAGGTGCTGATGTACCTGTTGGTGACAGTGGAGGCACAAAGGAAAGCAACAGTGCTGTGTGTCACTTGGGAAGGGAAGCTGGAGGTCTGGAAGTGGTTGCAGAAGGTGGTCACAGCAGCGTGGATGTGATGGCCCCACCAAAGCAGAGCAGCATGGATGGTGGGGCTGCCCCATTCCCAAGCTCTGCAGCCCTACAGGAGAAGATGGGGGGTGGAAGTACCACAGAGTGTGGAGATGTGGAAGGGGGCAGTCCTGCCTCTGCTGCTGGCCAGCTTCCAGGAACCAGCCCAGATTCCCAGTCCTCGGGTAGCAGGAAGAAACTGGCATCATCAACGGGAGAGGGAGAGAACACTTCCTCTGGGTTATCTCTTGCTACAGAAGCACCTGAAAGTAAACCAGCAACTCCTTGTGCTGGACATTGGAGCCAAGACACAGAGACTCCCTCCTCCTGCTTGCAGGTTGGGAAGGACAAAGGAGGCCCCAGCCAGCCAGGGAGCTGCTCAGCTTCCCAGGTGAGTGTGGGTATTGCCTGGGTGAGCTGGGCAAAGTTTCTCTTTGGAGAAGACTCGTTTGTGCTGTGTCAGTAAGGCTGAAGACCAGAAGAAGAGTGGGGATGTGGGGAGGAAGCAGGATTCACTGTCAAGTGTTTCTTCCAAGTTTTGCTCTCCTGGGGTGTTAGTTCTAGCCCAGCTCTCTTACTGAATGGTTGCTCAGTTCTCCCCAGGAGCTGTGAACTTGTCTCCTCTCCAGTCATCTCTTCCATTGAGCCCTGTTGGATCTCTGAGGAGATGTTCATGCTTTGTAGGTGCCTGTGCTCCACTCACGGATGGGCCTGTTAAGCTGGGGGTTATCTTTCATTTTCTTTATGCTGTAGCCTCTGGAGACCTGTGGCTTAACAACCTGACTTCTCACCAGTGTGTTTGGGTTGGGCTCCTCTTGCAATCTTGCACTGTTTCCTTAACTAGTAGCTTCTTGCAATGAGGGATTAGTCTTTCCAGAAGCATGAAGCTACCTGGTGTGCTGTGATTTCTGGATATTCCCTGGCATCTGAAAAGATGTTGGATGTTTCTGCAGACATAGTTCCAGAGTCCCTTGTTTAATTGGTCATTCTGTGGGTCTTTCTACCACAGAATGAAGATGCAAAAGAGAAACAGAAGACCCCAAGTGAGAAGACAAGTCAGGCCAAAAGACCTGAGACTGCTCAAAAGGATAATGCTTCAGCTGTGACGGGCAGTTGCAAGGCCAAACAGCAACCAGGGAACCAGGGACCTAAGAATAAGACTAAAGGAAGGTGAGAACAGCCCTACTGCTCCCACAGACCAGAGGACTTCAGACTGAGGCAGTGATTAAAGTACAAAGTATCCAGTTGGAAATAGAATTGCCTGAAAACTGAGGTAAACTCTTGCTTGTGCAAGAGAGAGCCAGTGTATAATTGGGAGTTGTAGCCCAGGTCATGGACTGGGTAGTGTGGTATCCCTGGTACTCAAACCTTTTTGAGTGTCTAATGAATAAACAAGAGGTTGACCTCTTTATTTCTTAGAAGCACTGTGTGCTTCACACAGGTAACTCCACATCAGTGGTGTGAAGAGCTGTTCTGATTAGTGTAACGTTTTGCTGAATGTGTGTGAGCTGGGGGAGAAGGCACAGCCATCCAGGGGGACTCTGCTGGGTGAGGTATTTGTTGGCTGGCAAGTGCTGTGTCTCAGGGGCATATGGCCAGGACATTCCCTGCTGCCTTTAGGAACCCAATTCTCCTTTTTGCACTCTGCTTTACTCTAGGCCTGTTGTGTAGCAGCCATTTGAGGGAACTGCTGACAGAGCCTGTGGGTCTTGCGTCCAGTAAAGTAGTGGCTAAAACTTACTTGTTGCTTAAGGTCTAAGTTAGATATTTTTTCTGTTTTCCTTCTAATTCTTTCTTGTAGTTCTGTGAGCCAAAGTGATGGTGTTACAGTGTGTTTCCATGCAATATTGTCCAAAGACTTCAAAATAGACCCCGAGACCACGAAAGTGTTCATCAGGGCTAAGGGCATTGCTCCCTATGCAGACATGAAGGACAACGTTTGTGAGCTGACCTGTACCAAGTGAGTACCCTCTGGAGGCACAGGAGTGTTTTGGCCCTGGAGAGCAGGATACAATGATACTGTGGCTATAAGTCCACAGGTGGATATTACTACAGAGGGTTTTCATAGTGGAGATAAAGATTTTAAAACATTAGTGATGAAATAATAATAATTACCATTCCTATTAGAGATGGAGTGATGCATGGAAAAGCAAGTATAAAACCAGCTGATGTGTCCTTTGCCTTCCTTTGCTGTGCTTTGTGTTTCCTAGGTGTCTAGGAGAACATGGATACCTCATTGAAGGCACTGTGACTCTTGCAAAAGAAAATGTGAATAAATACATTTGTTACAAATACTGGGTTGCCTCTGGCAAAGGGGACTACGAGTTCATTTACAAGCGCCCGGAAGCAAACAAACACGTGGATCGGTGCTTGTGCATACAAGAAAAGCTGCTCAACAACGGAGGTGACCTCCCCTGCCTGGGCCTGCCTTTTGGGGTGGTCTGTGGGGTTTTGGTGGGGTGGTTTCTAATGCTTTATGAACCTTTATTCCTTTCAGACAGCACTGTCTGAAGCTGGGAACTGAATGGGGCAGAGGGGGTATTAGTGACAGCTGCAAGAGTGAGGGCAGGTGCAAATGTGTCTCTGCTTCTCAAATGACTTTTCTCCTGTGCTGCTCATTCTAGAATGGCACCAGTATGATGACATCGTGTGTGCCAAGCCTTCTGCCTGGACAAAGTTCTGGCATAAGTTTGTTGGCAATAAAAACAAAGATGTGGTGGAAGGGAAGAAAATAGCTGCAAATATTATGTTAGAAAATATCTTCAGCATTCTTGGAACCTGGAGTCCTGACAACCTGAGGAACTTCTTCTTCCAGCTGAGGCAGTTCCATGTGGTTACAAAAGAGCCATGGGTGTATGAGGAGAAGCAAATGCTGTGGATGGAGTTAGGCTTTGGGGTGCATCAGGTAAACAGGAGCTAGAAAACAGACTTTCAGTTACTAAACACAGAACTTTAATTTTGATGTTGAGACTGTTGGGTTAATTTTGCTTTTTCAGTCAGAAGGTTCAGGCTTCTGGAGTCCTAAATTTCTTGCCTAGCATAATTATGAAATAGGGCAGAAATGTCACATTGCCTTTTTTGGGGCTTCCAACCAGTGTCAGGGCTGCTGGTTCCCAGCCCTTCTCCTCCTGGGGACCCAGGAGAGCCCACAAGGTGGCACACGGGGGCTTTGTATCACTGCTGCTTTTCAGGAGGGTGGTTTTGGTGACACCAGGCACAGTAATATGGAGCCCCTGGATGTGGTTTCAGAATAGCTTTTGGGGTCAGTGGGTAAGGACTGAAATCTCTCCCTTTCCTGACTCCTGACTCAGCCTGAGTCCACTGGGAAGTTGGAGTCTGCTTGCTGAGTAAGGCTGTGGTGTGAGGAGGATCAAAGGCAACGCTGGGTGTACAACTGCTCAGCTCATCAGTCCCTTCCTGGGATCTGCCACAGTCCCTTGGTGCTCCCCAGATCTGCTGGGTGTGGGAGGGTGCAGCAGTAACTGGGTGGTGGGAGCTGGTAGCACAGAGAGGGATACCAAACAGTCACAGGTACTGGGATGCCAGGTCTGGTGTTGTGGTGGTGGTCAGTACCACCTGCAACCACCACAGTGCTGTGGGGTGTACAGAGCTATTGAGTGTCCTCGCTGTAACCAGCAGAAGAAAATGGCTTCAGAAGAAAAAGACCTGTTATGGAACTAATCCTGTGGCTGGCTTGTTTCTTCCCTTCATCCTAGGTGAATGATCTGCTGCTGAAATACATAAGGAAAATACTTCTTCCTTCATCAGAGGAGGACTTGGTAATAAAAAGTAAACTAGCTCTGGGACTCACCATTCTCACAGTAATGCACTATTGGAATCTTGATCACTCCCAAATTGATCTGGCTGAGCTGTGCAGCCTCCTGTGCTTGGACAACATGCCACAACAAGCCCTGCTGGATGACTTTAATCAAATCAAGAAGGATTTTGCCACGCTTCCCGGGTATGTGTGTGACTCCAGCACTTTAAGACTGGGCTGGTTTGCTGCAAGCACAGCACTGTGTGATAAGGCAAGGAGGGATTCATCTCCCTAGTGTCAGAGAATCAGAAAAAAAGAGACTTGAAGGTGTCTTTAGAGGTCTCTGTTCCAGCCTCAATATGAAAAACATTTTACTTCTGTCCAAACAGGATTTTCTGTAGTGCAACTTGTCACTCTTGCCAGAGTATAGATTGAGTTAAAGCTGTTAGAAAAATCTTACTTGTTTTCCTTTTCTGTCAGGCAGTTTCTACCTGCTTACCTGTTTGCTACTCGTGCTTACAACCTGCAGTGACTGAGGGCATCATGTGGTTACTCCTTTAAATTGAGTTGTCTCCTCTGACATGCATCATTACACATGAGGTTTTTGTTTGGGGTTTTTTCCCTCCATGTGCCTGCTTATTAGACTTTTATCTAATTGTTTATCTGGCACTTGAATTTATGCTTTGTCACTTGCACAGCTGGAGTTATTAAATTTCCCTTTGAGACCTTTGTAGTACTTCAGCCCAACCAAGGAGGCTGGGACTTGTCCCTAGAATGCCTGGCTCTGCATCTGTCACCTCATCCCCCACTGAGCTCGGGGGACACACATGGGAATTGTAAATAAAGTATTGGCACTTCTTAGGGTTTGTGCAGAGAGGTTCAGGTAAGATTACAGCTTTTAGTCTTAAACTTTTGCCATATCTATTCTTCAATGAAGAGATGGGGCTTGGAGCAACCTCATCTAGTGGGAGATGTTCCTGCCCATGCAGGGGGGTTGGAACTAGATGATCTTTAAAGTCCCTGCCAACCCAAACTATTGTATTATAAGATTGAGCCAAAATAATTATCAGAAGTTACTTCAAGGTACATAGTGAGATGGAGATGTAGCCCCCACACCCTGAGGGCCATTCTTGAGTCCTGTAAAAAGCTTTTATTTTACTGTGTGTATTTCTTTGGATAGTTTTCCTAGTTTAGGGATTTGCCTGACATACCTGTGCCAGAGATGCATTGATGACCAAATAGACCAGTGGGTGTGGATCCTTCCTCTGCTGCATCTCTGTGTGGCTCCATGTCAGCGTGACCACTTGCCCATGGCAGAAGAAGTCTGGGCAGGGCTGGAAGGGCTTCCATTTGCTGAAACCAGGAAGAGGCAAGATACGTGAGTTTTCCAGAACTGCTTTTTACATCCAGTGCCTTGACACTGCAGTTGGTGATCACCTCTTACCTCTTTTTCTTTTTTTGTCCTTTCTTTTTAAAAAGTAAGAAACGTAGTGTGTTGATGGTGGACATTGAGGATCTGAACATAGACAGTGGTTGCTCAGAGATAATGGTGCATAGCAAAGCTGTGCACTGTTACTTTTAGACACAAATCACCCCTCCTGCTGCAAGCTGAGGAGGAGCTTGTTTGGGTGGGGATGGCTGGTGTGAGTTAAAGCAGCCTGTGATGTGCCTTGTGCAGAATCTGAGCAAAACCTGGAGTTTATTTCCTTGAGTGCTTCTGCTCAGTGGTTTGACACTGCTGTTGTGATCTCTGGGTCCTGGGGTTTTCTATGCATTTTTCAGCAGTAAATGGAAAAAGCACAGGAGTGAGAATAAAAGTGCTCCATGGGCTGAAGGAGATCTCAGCTTTTTTTGTACCTAGAAAACTTGAATATTTTGTTTTTTCTTCCCTTCAGCAGAACCCTGCTGCAGCTAATGAAAGAAAAGAAGTACTTGATGGAATTTGATACAGCTCTGGTCAAGTCCTGGATCTGTGTGCTGCCCCTGGAGAGCTTGGCTGAATTTATAAAGGACTTCTCCAGTGATTTCTTAGTTGCTCTTCAAGGTGTTTCTTACAGACTAGAGGATGTTACCCTTACAGAGACGATCTGCGAGGTTTGTCTTCTGGCAGCTTTACCCAGCTAAGGGATAAAGACTGAAACTGGGCTGTGTGCCTTTAAGCAGAGCTGTCACTGAGGGGAATGTGGCTGATGGCAGGTCAGAGCACAAAGAGCCTAACACTTAGCTAAAAGCAAAAGTAGCTGCTCTGGAGACTCCTAAGAAGAGGTGAGGGAATGTATCTGTAGCAAAAAATGTTGGCATTGCTGAGAGAAGGGCCTGCTTCTCTGACTTTGGTCTTAGTTACTGATGGCAAATGCTTTAGCCCTGAGATCCCCAGGTGACTGCCTTGAAAGGATGTTCTGCACAGCTCCTGGGGGTCTGGGCTCAGTGCTGCTGCTTTGAGAGCATTTCCTGCCTGTCACGAGGACACTTGTATTTGTGTGAGGGCAGCAGGAACTGGACACTGCAAGAAGTAATAATAGTTTTAAAACCCCTAGATAGTAAGAAGTGCAGGTTTTGGTTGAACAGTAATAGCCAACTACATGTTGACTCTGACAACCAGTAAATAATTTTTGCAGTTTTAGGGTGTAGTTATAAAATAATTGATGAAGTCCTGGCAGAACACTGAATGCCCTCTTCCACAGCCTCCCTTCAGCTAAGGAGAAAAGTTTGTAAAATTCCTTCCACGCTTTAATATTTCTATCTTTTAATTCTTAGGTAGTAGAGAAACTTGTACAGACACTGCTGAGTACCTTGGATGAGGAAAAGGCCAGGTAACTGAAATGTGCTGCTGTGAGGGCATTTGTTTTCACCGTGCCTGTGGGGTGGAATTATACTTGGAGCTTGACAGTGTGCACTGGAATCTAGATGAATAAAAGAATCCTATATTTCTGTTCCTCTGTCAGACAGAAACACTTTTTTAAGTCCATCTGAGGGAGGGATGGTTGTGCTCACACTGTATTGAATTTGGTGGGGTTTCTTCTTTTTTTTTTCCTCCAAGCAGAAAACAAATTCTTCTTTATTGCTGTCCTTCAGAGCTCTGGACACTTGCTCTTGGCAGTCCTGCTTGACCTCTTGCCTTAACCTGCATCAGAGGATCTGCAAGACAGTGAAGTTTGTAAGGTTCTACAGGCTTCCTGTCACTTCTGCCTTGATGATTTCAAAGGTTGCCAAGCTTCAGCCCACAGCAGTGAGTACCAAGGAACCTGCCAGGGCTTGATATGAGCAAGATATCTGGAAGTATTACAAAAGTGGCTCAGACTGGCCTCAGAACACTTCCATTCTCAAACTGGAAAACTTAATACTCTCAGTTAACCAAGGCTGTGGTTTTTTCCTCTTCTCCTGTGTGTGCAGCAGGATCCAAGAGGTGCTGTGCAGGAAGTGTTCAGAGATGCTCTGGGACACACTCGAACCTGGTTCAGAAACGTTTTAGACAAGGAGTTACTGAAAGAATCTGTGAATCGCGTTTTTTTCTCTTTTTCCATGGAACTTCAGGTTTGTCATCTTCTAATAATATGAATAAATAGGTGGTTTACCCTAGCTTAACCATGTGGTCTTGAGTCTAAGGGCTCTGTGCTGGGAGCCATAGTGGCTGTGGCTGGGTGAGGAGGGGGATGAGGACAGGCAGTGTTTTAAACACCGTTGGGCTGAAATGCGAAGGGCTATAATTGGTGCTGCTCACCTTGCCTTATTTCTCCTTTTTCTCAGCTGTTTCAAGAGGTGTTGCTCACCCTGTGTGTCCCCTGAGCTGTCTTCCAGGCCTTCCACCTGGCTGAGCTCAGAGCAGCTGACCCCAGCCCACCCCGGGGCAGTTTCCAGCATCAAGGTGGAAGTGATGCATCCAAATGTCTCTTTTAGCGACTGGGACATTTTGACACTGTTTGGGCTTTAAAACTGCTTTTTGCAGCTCTGGAAGTGCTCCTTTATCTTCTGGATGGAAACATCTGTGTGGGGCCTCTCCTCAGCACAGTTCTTTTAGTTGCCTTATTTGAATGTTAAAAGTCAGCACTTACTGTTTTGGGTTTTTTTTGCTCCTCACCTGCAGGCCTGGGATGGATTTGTGAGGATCAGCTTTCCTGATGAGCAGCTCACCGAGGAGTGGAAGAAGGCTTTGCTTGCTGATCTGAAGAAAAGAATTCAGGAGGTAGGGGGGACTGGGCAGGCAGCATGTGTCAGTGGGCAGTCAGGCTTCTGCTGAGCTCACAAAGCAGCTTCTATAGCCTGAACGGGCACGTGGGAACACTGACTTTGGTCATAAAATTGTCATTGCTGTTATGAACCATGTTCTGGAGGCTCAGAGCCTGGACACAAACCTACCCTGAGCTGTGTTCTTGGTGTCAGGTTCCAGCACCTGCAGAGCTGCTGTTTCCAGCAGCAACTGATACCCTGATGCTCTAAAGGAAATTACACATTTTGAGCAATTACCACCCTTATAGATTTAGGAAGCAGTGGCTGTAAAGTCGGCTCTCAAGGTCTTAACAGAAGCAAAGTTGGCAGTTGTCTCTTTATAAGTTGTGCAGAAACTGTGTATAAGGCTCCCAAATGCACCCACTGTGTAGGTTCCTTCTGAACTGAGCTTCTGTAGCTCCTCATCTCCTTTCTGTATCACTTGCAAAATTCTCTAAGCCATTGATTTTCATGGTATGATCAGGAAACACTTCATTTTTATTTTTTTCCTGGTGGAAGCTTGGCTTGAAGAGGTGCACATTAAGTCATCACACATTTTAGGTGGAAACAATGTAAAAGATTTTTCAGGGATGTAGTGGTTTTAAATCTCTCTTCCAAGCTGTGGGAAGTGGGCAGGTGCTTGGCTGCACAGGGAAACTTCTTGTTTAGTTAATACCTTTTATTGACTCAGTAGCAACACTCATTCTCTGAAGTGTTCCTTCTGAAAGAATAAAGCTGTTAAGAGATCTTTCCTTTTTTCCCTGTAGGAGCCTCCAGTTAACCAAATTTTAGCCTACTGCTGTCAACACCACAAGTTTGCAGGACTTGACTGTTCCATTGACTGGTGTTTCTGTACTTGTGCCACAGAGGCTGTAACTGTAGCTTGCCAGGTATTGTATTTTCCCTCCAGGTAGGAAAAGTTAAATTTCTTGTTGCATAGGAATGCTGTGCACTGTGGTGGAAGGGGAGCTGCACAGCCAATCTCTCATTGCTTGAGTTGTTGTAGATGATTTGTTGAGCCAACAAAAAAATATTGACAAAAAAATCAGGAAATGAGGATCCATGAAAAATGCTTGTAATGCTTTTGCCATCCTGGCTTCTGGTGTCAGTCACATCGTGTGCTTTTTTTGGCACGTGCCTCAGCACTGGAGGTGTCACTTGGTCACTTCTTGTCATCAGTGCCTGATCCCCAGAGCACCGATTCATTCCTCCCTCTGTCTCCTGTACCTCCTACAGACCCAGAGCAATATCCTGGAGAAGATTCCTTCCTACAACATGGGCCAATTTAGCAAGCTTGTATCAGCTATTATTGTGAAGTCGTGGCCGATCAGGAGTGAATGGTCCCAGGAGGATTTTGATGAGGCTTTGCACCACGTGCTGACGTGGCCTGACATCAAACAAGTCTTCAGCTTCCATGGTATGTCTATTAGATTTACAGCAGTCTACAGAAAGCTGTGCTCTGACTTGCCATTCCCACTTTGCAGAGTAGTAAACAAATAGATAGTAAGTGTCCTGGTCTTGTTTTATTTCCTATCTGAAAGCTTGAGGTGTTCAGCCTGCTACTGAAGAAGAAAGGCTAAGGAGAGGGAGCTGGTATTCCTTGTGTGTTAATCCACTGTGGCCAGTTCAGGATTTGTACTGGACTGCTGAACATGCAGTTCATGTAGATTTGTAGAACATAACTTCTTTCTCTGAGAAGTTCTAATAAGTTGTTGCTATACCAAAATGCAAAAGTCTTTGTCATGTGAATGGATCAAAATGGCTTGTGTTTCCTCCACAGGTTTTTGGGTATGGGCTCTCCATGGGAAGGTTTCTGAAGTGCTCTTCTGAAACCCTGGCCATTTCTGTTCAGAAAAGCATGGTGGGGGGGTGGGTTGGAGGGTGGTGTGATGAGTTCACAGGCTTTTAGGTAGGGATTGGAATGGGAAGTGGAAGGACTCTGCAGCAGGACACTGAACAGTTACTGGTTATGCTCAGTTCTTGTGAAGCAGGGCTGACCAGGTGTTCATGCTTTGTTTCTGCAACAGGAACTAAAAAAGAGCTTGTAGAGGAACTTACAGATGAAGCCAAGAATATAATGGCCACAGCAGACTCTGTCTTCACAAGTGTCAGCCAAGACCTCCAGAAAGGCTGTATCCTTGTGAAACATCTGGAGGAGATTTTCCAGCATGAGAAGCAGTTCACCTGTATCTGGGAGATACGTAAGAGCACCATTATGATCTGTTAACCTGCTTCAGTGGAGGTGCTGCAGCAGAGAGCAATGTTACCCTTGGCTTTGTGCTTGGTATGGAGCTCCCAGCTCCAGAGTGTGGTGTCTGCATTTCACTGTGCTGTGGTGCTGCAAATCCAAAGGGGTGCAGGGGGTGGGAAGTGGCTGCCTTGTGACTACAGCTGAGGTTTTTTTCAGACCACCAGCGGTTACCTGGAGACAAAGAACTGAAAGAACTGCTGCAGAGGAGGCGGGAAGAATTGACATATCTCAAAGAAGAGAAAAAAGCAATAGGAACCTTTCTGAGCATGTGTAGGAAGGTGCAGGCGTCTGTGAAAGGTAGTGTTGGGGGGAAGTGATTTGAAAGTGGCAGCTCCAGAAAACATAATTTTCTCTGAAAGCTACTAGGCTTTGTAAACAGGTTTTATTCTAAATCACAGTGAGGATGAGGAGGGATGGGGGAAGTAAACATTGAGCATTTGAGGGATCAAATGAGTGCTTATACATCAAAGAATAGTTGTAGGAGTCTACATATCCAGTAGCATTTTGTAACTCTGTGGATGAGGTGAAGGAAGCTGGACATGGGCTAAATATCCAATATCTGACCTGTCTCTCTGTTTTAAAGTGGATGTATGTGAAGTGGAACATGAACACTTGCAAGATCTTAGCTCAGAAAGACTAAACACATTTGTGGCTGTGGAAAGGAGACCCCTGCTGACCTACTACAGCTTGAGTCCAGAGCTGAAGAAATGTGCCCAGAAAATGCACTCTCTTAAGGACAGCCTGATCTTCCAGACGTTCTGGGAGGAAGCAGCACAGACACTAGGAGAGGAGTGGGAAAGTGAAGGAGAGGAATGGGAAACTGCAGGAGAGGAGGAGGACATTCCTGCCTTGGACCTCAATTATGTTTTAAGCAGTCTCATCACCCCGTGCTTTACCAGCTATGAAAGGCTGTATGATGATCTCCGGTCGGGAAGTCTCACACTTTCTGCAGTTGATACAATCTTTCAGGAATTTGTAGGTAATCCTGAAGATATCAAAACTGAACTAAATACCATATGTAAGCTTAGACCTGGAGAAGCCAGTGACTGGGTGGATCAGCGATTTCAGCAGATCCAGGAGTACCATGAAATGCATGTGACTTTGGATGCTGCCAAGATCATTGCCCGTGTCAAAGACAGTTTAAACCTCTCTGGTGACTTCACTATCCTGGAAAACTTGTTGGACATAGTAAGTATCCACTTCAGCTCTGTACTGTCGGGGTGTTGGCTAGAAAGCTTGGGTAAATCTTAACCTTCTTGCAAGTCTATCTCAGTCTGTCAAGAGCTCTTCCTTGTCCCAGAATACTTGAGATAAAAATTGTGTTCAAACAAAGTGGTTTTGTTTAATCTTTGAAGAAGTGAAGATGGTATTCCTGTTGGGGTGTGGCTTTGCAGAGGGCTTTCCTTTCAGAGGGCTTTCCTTTCCCTGCTGGGGAACGGGTTGTAGTTCCCATTTTCAGACTGAATGTTTGTTTGCATCATTTGCTTTGTAGACAGAAAAGCTTGACTCGTACAAGACACAGACGCTGGATTCCATCGGCCCTGAGCTCGTGTCTGCCAAGCGGCTGCTGCAGGGGGTCACTGTGAACCGCCGGGGCTGTCTGAGGGAGCTGGCCCAGCAGAAGGAGTTTGTCTGCTGGGTCAGAGAAGCACTGAAAGGTGTGTGCTGCTCACCCAGGAATTAGGCAGACAGCACTGGAAGGGATGGCAGTTTGTGTGGGGGCAGAAGGAATGCCATGTCCCTGACTCACCTGCTATCTATTTTATGCCACCACAGCCTCTTGTATTGATAGTTACAAGCATCTCAAGGATTTTGTGGGACATGCTGTGAAGTTGTCCTTTTAACCATGCCACAGTAGTCCCGTGCAGTACCTGCCCCATAGCTGGGCAGTGCTCTGAGCCCTTTGTCTGCCAGCTTAGTTGTCTCACATGCAGAGAGACACCCTTTGTGTTGCTTCCATCCTGCCTGTGAACCTGCTGTTTGTGGCAATGTGGAGAAAAGCCAGGGCCAAGGAAGTCATTAATGGGGATGAACTGGCTAGAGAGGTTGCTGGCAGGGTGGGTGGAGGGAGGCTGCACAGGAGATGCTGTTCCAAGGCATTTCTTCTGCATTTTCTGTGAAAGGTGGTGATGTGGAATTGTGTTAAAGCTGCCACATTTGCTCTTCATTCCTGTGTTTGTTTCATTTAAGATATAAATGAGCTGAAAGTATTTGTAGACTTGGCCTCCATCTCTGCTGGGGAGAATGACACGGATGTGGACCGTGTGGCCTTTTTCCATGACACTGTACATGGCTACTCTTCCCTGCTGTATGAGCTCAGGCAGGAGTCAGGGTTTAAGGACTTCATGCACTGCCTGAAGAAGCTCTGGCGAGCCCTGGACAGTGATGAGAATCTTCCCAAGAAACTGGTGAGTCCTGCTGGAGGAAGTTTTCCTGCATCCTCTTGTGTTTCTGCTTTCCAAGAGTGTCTGGAAGATTGACTGCACAGGGCAAATTGCTCTTGTGTGGGGACATCACAGCAGCTTTTGGTGTTGGAAGAAAAATGTCCTATATTTCTGTGGCACAGAAGTTCACTGCAGCAGCTGTAGCTGGTACAGCACAGATCTCTCCAGAGCATGGGTGAGGCTTTCCACCATGACATGGTGTAGCTTGGCTCTTGCAGGAGTTTGAATGAGGATGCAGAAGAGGGAAGGCAGAGGGAGGGGTGGGATTCTTAGTCTTTGCAGCAGAGCATGATCTACGGCAAGAGGCACTGCAGCACTGTGGGCTCTGTCTGTTCAGCCTCCCAGTGGTGTTGTGGCCCATGGTCATTCCTTTCTTCCCTCCCCATCCTGAAGCTTTTCCACCAGCCCAAGCTGTTCGTCCAGGACACATGTCATCCTGGAAAGCTGTGGCAGGCCAAGTGGTGAGGGCAGTGTCTTGTCTCTTCTCCCCACAGCGTGCTTCAGCTCAGCACCTGGAGTGGCTGAAGACAGTGAAGGAGAGCCACGGCTCTGTGGAGCTGTCCTCTCTGTCCCTGGCAGCTGCCATCAACAGCAGAGGGATCTATGTTCTCCGTGCACCAGCTGATGGCCAAAAGGTGAGGCTGCTTGGCTTTCCCTCCCCTCCTGCAGATAACACTGCTCTCACGGTCGTGACTGTCTGCAATGTGCTGCAGCTCCTCTCCCACCTTGCATAGCTCCTTTTTGGGGGTTGCTGCCAAGTGCTCCTCTTGCTGAGCCTTGGGAGCAGAGTGTCAGTGCTCATCAGCACTAATGACTTGTTCTCTGTCAGGTTTCTTTGGACAACGTCCTGTGCTTCACCCTCCCAGGGAGCTCTGGGGATAATCAGGCATCATGGAAATACTCCCTGGCAGAGCTCTGTGAACTGCAGAACAAACTGATGCTCATGTCAGCAAAGGGAGAGCAAGGCTTGGAGGTGGAGAGGTTCTCTGAGGTCAGATTTCAAAGCCAGTGGGTCACTGATGCTGGGGCTGGATTCTGCCTCGAACAGCAGCTGTTAAAGCTGTGGTTTACAGCTGAGCTGCTGGGAGGAGTGGTGGCAGGCAGGTGTTCCTGCCTCTTTGGTTCCCTGTTATGGTGGAACTAAGCTAGAGACTGGGCAGTGGTCTGGTATCCCCATCCTCTGGGAATGCTCCTGGCCAGGAGGCTGGCTGTGCTTTTGGAGCAAGCTGGGGATTCCTTACTGTTTTCTTGGGGATATTGCTGTTAAAAAGCCACAGAGTCTTTTGTTACCGGGCCAGGCCTGGCTTACCTGGCTTGGGACCAAAACCTGTCCTTTGAATTCTTTTCTGTGGTTTCCTAACAGGGGCTTGTCTTGGCAAATCAACTTAGTGTTTTTTCTCTCCTCTACCCCCACACAGATATTTTCCAATGTCCAAAGACTTGCACAGGCCTTTATAGACCTTTATTCAGCTGGGAACATGCTCTTCCGCTCCTGGCTTGCTCAAGTGAATTGTTCACCCAAAAGAGAATCGTGTGTTTTTATGGACTTCTCTTTGGGACTGATCCCTGTGCTCGAAGGGCAAGGAGATGTGGCAGCTGTGCTCCCAAGCATCTGCAAGACAATGGAGAGTTTCCTGGGGAGCTGGAAAAGCTTCATGAATGAAAAACGGCTCCAGCATTTCTACCTGAACTACTACAGTGCTGAGCAGCTGGTCTATCTGTGCACAGAGCTGGGGCAGAAGGTGCCCAGCCAGAGGGCCCTGATGATGCTTTCCTTCCTAAAACACAACTGCACCCAGCAGGATGTCCTTGGAGCCTCCAGGAGAGAGCTGCCTTCCAGTTCAAGGAGGGCTATTTCTGACCTGCGAATGCTGCTGGTTGAAGAGAAGGACCTGACTGCACAGCTGAGGTGCATCTGGGAGTCCTACATGGGCAACATGAGCTCCTTCCTTCCAAACTGCCTGGATATTGATACGCTGGGTGAGTGGCTGAGGAACCTGGCCAGCTGGGAGAGAAAGTGTGTCACCCGAGACTTTCCACAGGACCTCCTGTCTGTTGGGCAGCCCAACCTCATCACGTGCCCTCGCTCCGAGGTGCTCACGTCTGCTCTGGCTGTTTACATGAACAGCCCCCACCAGCCCCTGCCCACTTTTGATGAAGTTCTCCTGTGCACCCCTCAGACCACTGCAGAGCAAGTGGGGCTCTTCCTCAGGAGGTGCCTCATTCCCTGCAGCAGAGGACAGAAAATTTACACCATGCTGTATGCAGACGAGCTGAGCTACGATGTCAGCTGCAGAGCAGAGGAGCTGTTCCAGCACCTGCAGCACCACAACAGCGCCTACCGCCTCCTCATCCTCTGCAGCAGCGAGAGGGAGCACAGCTACATCCCCTCTGTCTTCAGCCAATACAAGGTGCACATGATACCCCAGAGGTCACTGGCTGAAATCCGGAGGTACCTTCAGCACCACTACAGAGTCGCTCAGCCTTCGAGATCAGCTGCTTCTGTGTTCAAGGACAATATGTGTGTTGGGATCGTGTCCTCCAAAAAAGCTGGCGTGGGTAAGATGTCACATGCAAAGTGGGGTCTGCTGAGTGTTGAAAACCAGAGCGGGGTTCACCTTGCCAGGTTTTCTGCCTGAGTGATAAGCACCTAGTAAAAAAAGAATGATTCACACTACAGTCAGTGTGGTGAGGTGAAAGCTGTAAGCCTTGTCCACAGACACCTCTATGGATGGTTCATCTTGCTAATCTGACACCTGACTTGTATCCTTAACATAAACTAGGTGTGATGAGGTGGATCTGACCTGAGGTTAAAACACGTCTGCAGGAAAATACATGTGAGATGGGGCCAGGGCTGGAAAACCTGCCTACTGTTCTTGCCTAGGAGGGGATGCCTGGCTGTCTCTTAATGCAAAAAGCTGGAGGGCAGGAAGTACTTGGCAGGCTGAAAAGCAAATAAAAGGTGGTTCTTCAACCAGTGCTTCATTAAATTGTGGAACTCAAGGCTTTACACAAGCTTAAAAAGTTATTAGGTAAAGTCATGAGAGAAACATCTGTGAAGTGCTACAAACACAAAGATGCCATCTTTGACATTGG